ATCCATCCAACAATCAAAACATTCAGAATTTATCGTCGATCGAGGCACAGCATTTGCTACGTGCTGAAATGATTCGAAATGAGCAAAACGATCAGCGAATCGAAATGTTGACAAAGCGATGTGTGAGTCTTGAGAGACGACTGGCCGTTTGTGACACTGCCGAGGTGTTCTACTCGAATTTGAAACATGAGGTGAGCGGTTGGGCTCAATTTGAATTTAACGTTTCAATGATTGATTTAAAGAAAGTTTTTGTAATTTATTGGGTAGAGATATTAGGTGATGGGTTCAGATGATTGAGGCATTAAAGTAGTGATAAGTGATGGTGAGTGCTTTCAGATGGAGGACAAACTGAAGAAATTATTGGAAGAATTTGGCGATGTGGAACGAAGAAGGATAGAGAGGTGTACGAAATTACTGGAATTGAATGCGAAAATAGAAAGGGATTACGAGTTGAAGGTGACGCAGAACGAGGCGCTCGGTGCTCAGTTGCGCTCTTTGAATACCACATTCGCATCGCTCAAACAAGTTTGTGTTCACTTTTGCATTTATTCAGTTTGATTATCGTTTATTGAATATATGTTTATTTGATCGCTACTGGATTTGTTCATAATGTGAAGATGATAGGTTTCTTTGGTGATTTGTTAGTCAAAATATGATTTGAGTTGATATTGTATTCATAATGTGATGATGATAGGTTTCTTTGGTGATTTGTTAGTCAAAATATGATTTGAGTTGATATTGTATTCATAATGTGATGATGATAGGTTTCTTTGGTGATTTGTTAGTCAAAATATGATTTGAGTTGATATTGTATTCATAATGTGATGATGATAGGTTTCTTTGGTGATTTGTTAGTCAAAATATGATTTGAGTTGATATTGTATTCATAATGTGATGATGATAGGTTTCTTTGGTGATTTGTTAGTCAAAATATGATTTGAGTTGATATTGTATTCATAATGTGATGATGATAGGTTTCTTTGGTGATTTGTTAGTCAAAATATGATTTGAGTTGATATTGTATTCATAATGTGATGATGATAGGTTTCTTTGGTGATTTGTTAGTCAAAATATGATTTGAGTTGATATTGTATTCATAATGTGATGATGATAGGTTTCTTTGGTGATTTGTTAGTCAAAATATGATTTGAGTTGATANATTACCTGGATTGACCAGGCTATCAAACGTTTTTAACGTTGCTGGCCACAATGCGTTTCCGTTCGGTCCTTGATCTTGCTTTCCTTTGCCAGGTGTTACCCAGTTTCTTTGTAATATCATCTTTCCATCTTATTGGAGGTCCCCCGAGTGGTCTTTTTATTTCCCTTGAGTACCACTCTGCAACTGCTCGAGTCCATCTGCCATGTGCCATTTACTCTTGCTACGTGGCCTGCCCAACGTAGCTTTCGAAAGTGTCTAATAAGTAAGTGAAATTTCATGATCTGCATAAAAGTGAACGGAATGAAACAAGTCTGCGATGTGAATTGGATTCGCTGCGGGAGAGTTACGACAGTCAACAAAGCGAAAATAAAGGTTTGTGTGAGGGTTAATCAAATCAGAGAATTGAATTTCAACTGTATTGTTTTTAGAGTTAAGAGATCGAATAGCACAACTGGAAAGGGATTCGATGAAACAGAGGAAGAGTTTACGAGACGCGGAGGAGAAATTGAAAGAAGAAATGATCAAATCGGAGAGGGAAAGGAAAAATGCAGAGATGTTGGAGCAACAGATCGGTAGGGAAAAGGACATCGCCCAAGAAAAGTGGAATATCAACGAGCAAAAACTGACACATCTTCATGTGAGTTTGTATCCAAATGATGGATTTAGTTCAGCTATAATGATTGATTATAGTGATAAGATTGATAAAAAACAACTGTTTTGAAAGGGTATTATCGTGTGGTGCAATTAGATGTGTTGAAGCAGAGCGTTAACAGCAAACGTTCGATTTACTTACACGTACACAACAACAATAATCAGAACAAATTTAGCTTCATAATATTAGTTAGATTATGGCAAAATAAGAGGAAATGATGCTATATAAAATGACGCGAAATATGTATTAGAAAAATAATTTAATTTCAATATATTCAAAAATAAGATAGAACAATTTGATAAGAGATAGATATTGCACACTAAGGATGAATCAAAAAATGGTGAATGTCTTCATTCACGACAACAACAACAAGAATGAAAGTAGATGTTGATAGCAAATGGAGCTGAATGCGAAATGTGAAGAGTACGAGAATGGCACGAAGAGAATGGAGGAGATGTATGAAAGGAAGGTGTCGAAACTGCGCGACGAGGTGATGCGGGTGAAGCACGAACGCGACGAGCTGGTGATCAAAGTGTGCGATTACCAGCACCACAACCGCACCTTCAAACAACAACTCATCAAAAACGCTCAACTCAAACTCGCCGATACTTGTCAAAAGGCTGTCACTGAATTCGCTGGAACGCAGTTTTCGTCATTTGGTCCGTTTGTCATTATTTATCAGTTACAGTTTTGCAGTTTTAACTGCAGCTAGTTAATTGACAGAATACTACTCTAATTGATGAGAATAACCATTTATTACAGCATAATCTGATTGTATTTTATATAAACTTTTTGAAGATCTCAAACATTCATGAAAGTATATTATTTTTGAGTGATTCAGACCAAGTGAATCATCTGTGAAATTTTAATAATAATAATGCTATTTAAGATGACAGTGAGAATATAGCACCGCAATTTGTAGTATCTGCATTGACATCTTCAAGACCGCAGTCCGATGGAAGGGGACCGAAAGGTTTGCTTTAGAATTGTGTTTATGCATGTGCACGTTCACTAATCTTATGATGATTTTAATGAATGAATGCAAAATATTGAAAGTGATTAACTGAGCTGAACATTCATAATTGAAAATGATTATAACTGAACTGAAAGGAATGCTTTTAGTGAGCTGCAACAACAAACCCACTCTTCAAACCAATTTAAGCAATCCCAAAACAGCCGCAATTTCAAATCGAAACAAGTTACTTCAGAAACGAAAGGTTCTTGGTTTGTGTTATATTGCAGGGATGAGTGATCTTATGATAGTCGAGAATTAAATGGAATTTGTGACGATTCATTTATGTCTCAATAAGGGATTCTTATCGCAACCAATAATCGGAGTTTTGTTTAAAATAATTTCAGTGCCTTCGGTGTTCTTTTTGTGAATTTAGCAAGATAAGCTCATAGGTCACGATCAGATTATCAGTTGAATGTTTTAAATTGAGCTCGATTCGACTGTAACTGATAGATCGCTCTTATTTGCAGGGTGCTACAGATGGAGATGTAAGGAGTCGAACGATTGAGAATATTCACAAGAATTGAACTGATCTTATATCTTATCTTGTATCTTACTTCGCCTTAATGATCTTGTACTTATGCGTAAATGCTCTTGTTCTGCTTACTATTATGCTGGAATGATCTAGCAGTTGTAGGCCTAAGCATGGCGTCGAAATAATGGAAATTGTTTACTGATGTAACACACGAATGCAATGTATTTATCAGTTGATTTGTTCGCCTTAATGCCATCATCAGGAGAGAACTAGACGATTCACAGCGTCGAGCAGAAAAAAGTGAGGGTAATTTTCACACGGCTCAATGTTGAATCACATGGGCAGTGCACAATATAAAGGTGAAAGTACCAGGATGATATCAGAGTTCGAGAATGCTAAGGATAGCAGTGTTTCATGAGGGAATGAATTTAAAATGAACCAAAAAGGTAGAGGTTAGAAATATTTTGTAAATAATGAGTAAATTTAAAGGTGGCAAGAAAGGGTACTTACATTTAATTTGTGTCTGCTCTGTAACGTAAAACATTAAAGTATGTGTTCTATTTTGTATTCACATAATTCGTTTATTTTGTTATTGATTCAGTCGATCTCTTTGAGATTTTATGATTGTCAATGCAACATCTTTTTGTTATTATCGTAATCATATTTGTGATGTGCCTCAATTGACTGATATCGTCCACAGATGAGTTGATTTCTCACTGAATTATCAGCGATGTATTATACGTTATTGCCTTGTGTTTCGTTTACCTCATATCGAATCCAGTGTTCATTATTCAAATCACTTCAGTGTGATATTATTATCCACAAACTGCTTCGATAACTCGTATTATTATATTTGATTCAATAATTGTGTCAGTTATCGTTTAACACGTTCACGTCATGTGCTCATTACTGTAATATAAATATTGTGCAAATGTAATTTTGACTCTATTCCGCTTATTTGATAATATTCCAATCTGAATTCGTTCTCATTAATCGTATAATTGTCAATTGGTAAAATCTAATTACACAATTGGATAATGTGTTTGTTTGTTCTCACTCCATTTGAAAAAGACGATCGTCCGGAACAATTATTTTAAAATGCAACGTGCACGTATGAATGCATGAAGCTGGAGTGCGACAACCTTAAAGTTACACGTTCTTTTCATTCTTGGTAAGATGAGATGAGTGCTAGCTGTTGCAGTCATTTGAGTGAGATTGTCCTGTTAAAGACGTTATCAGCGCACTACAGATCTTTTATGCATGCGGTATTCATGAGTGGATTCGGTGTTGAGTCATATGTCGAAGAAGAAGACTGTATATGAGAGATGAACCGTCACTATAAGCCTGTCACCTTTTGAGGGTAGTTGTATGCAGCTGCAAACGGTCACGAAAAACCACTGCCAATTTGAAAAACTGTTATGTCGACTGGAGTTCAGTTCCAGAAGTACGCATCATAACTTCGCACTTATGCAGTAGCAGCAATTCGAAGAGACAGAAATGGTAGCAATTGAAACGTTTGCTTTTTTAAATTTAAAGTGAAACTGCTAAAAGTACCACTTAAACGCTGTTCAACTACGTGTTCTCACAACAGCCAAGATTGTGAGATAGTCCACTTTTGTGTCGTCGACAATTTTTTGTCCAAATCAATAGATAATAACTGGACTTTACCCTCTGTCCAGCTAGTGGAGTAGTATGTGCACGCAATCATTATGAGCCGAATACCTAATGAGAATTAGTCTCCAGGAAAATTTTCAAAAATGATTTATATCTCAAAAACAAAAACAGACCATGTTCGGCGGCTCACATCTCGGATTAAGACTGATTGTGAGCCAATTGCCTATAGCATATCGAAAGAAATCATTACGAACATCAAACATCAAAATGTTCTATCCACACTTCGGCTACAAACTTGCTCAAAATAGAATTTTTTCGTTACAAAAAAAATTATTATTCTAAACTTTAGTCACAGACGAGATAATAATACTCACGAAATAGGAGAAAACAGTGTTGTCATTAGCCAATCGCATTCACATATGCAAGTGATTAAACACCATCACAGCGGCGTTCCATCATAATATAACATCTGCACGAAATACTGATTTCCCCGACTCCTTCATTATCCCCTGACACCTCAGAATTACCCCGAATTACAACAAGGGGACAATTTCAGCCTTATGAGAGTCACTGTCTTATACATTTCTCATTCCTTACTGTTAGAAAGGAAAAACCATTCCTCACCGATCGACAGTTATTATGTAACTAGCTGTCTATTCAATAGTTTCATTGCTTTCTTTCATCCACTCAACTTTCCGTTCCATCCGAATTCTTCAGTTGTTTATATGAACACTGAATGCATCTTCATTACCACATACTTCTATCGGTTGGGGTAACAGAAGCCAAAGTCCGAATGTTGAAAGGCGAGAGAATTAGAGGAAAACGCTTCGTAAATGCGCACAAAACGAACAGAATGAATGTAGCTGTGAAAACTAACAACGAGAAATCGTCGTAGCGCAACCTTCGCGACTAATACCAAATTAAATTCTCTACAAGCACAGAAGGTTTCAGGAAAATTCATAATCTAGTTTTCGAGACTGTAACTTAAAATGAACCTTCATAACGAAAAATAATCCTTGGCGAGCGATTGAGATGGAAAAAGTACCGGAACAGAAATTTCATCGGTCAATGCCAAGTAATCCATTTAAAAGAGAATATGATGCTGATCGAATATGACGCTGATACCGCTCTCTCTATCAAAATCGCAAAAAAACCGCTCACTTCGTTCTTTTTCATCGCGGTCATAATCACCAATAAGTTTTGATCATCAACATCATCACTAGTTTCCATGCATTGATAAATTACTCTTCAAAAGATCATCACATTCAGCTGGTGGGAATTTTGAAATATTT